CCTCAAGCTGTCCCCCTGGGTAGAGTGTTGTGGCATCACAGCTCACAGCAACCTCCAACTCCTGGGCTCAAGCGAGTCTCCTGCCTCAGCCTCCCTAGTAGCTGGGACCACAGGCGCCCACCACAACAACTGGCTATTTTCTTCTTTTGGTTGCAGCCGTCATTGTTATTTGGCGGGCCTGGGCTGGATTCGAACCCTCTACCTTAGGTGTATGTGGCTGGCGCCTTAGCCACTTGAGCCACAGGTACCAAGCCAGTGAGACCCCATTTCTAACAATATAGCTAAACACTGTGGTGGGTGCCTGTAATCCCAGTTACTTAGGAGGCTGAGGCAAGAGAAATCACTTGAGCAGAGGAGTTTGAGATTGCTGTGAGCTATAATGCCACAGCACTCTACTGAGGTGACAAAGTGAGACTCTGTCTCAAAAAAAAAAAAAAAGTAAAGTGATATTTATTTATTTATTTAGACAAAGTCTCACTTTGTCACCCTTGGTAGAGTGTCATACATCATAGCTCACAGCAACCTCTTGGGCTCAAGCGATCCTCTCACTCAGCCTCCTGTGTAGCTGGGACTACAGGCACCCACCACAACGCCTAGCTATTTTTAGAGATGAGGTCTCTAAAACAGTCTTGCTCAGGGTGGTCTCCAACTCCTGAGCACAGGCAATCCACTTGCCTTGGCCTTCCGGTGTGGTAGAATTACAGGTATGAGCCACTGCGCTCAGCTTTTAAAGTATGAAATGTTTATACAGCCTAGCATTCTTAGGTAAGTTTCTTTCAATTACCTCCACTCTCCTGAGGGAATACAAACATTCCCTACATGGATTAGGAGAGTGATTGGAGTTCTTCCTCATGAAATATATAAACAAGGACAGAATCTGACTCTGCTTGCTTTAGGCAGGATCTCTGAATACAAGGTCTTAAATCCTGGTGTAAACTAAGGAACATTAAAATGTCACCACCACATTAAGAGTTCTGAATTGCTTTCTATGGGGAGAGGGAGTTAATTAATATGTAATGGTGCAGAGGAACCAACCAATCAGCACACTAGGGCAGCAAAAATTGTGGTAGCCCTCAGTATACTCTTGGAGTTCTCTCATGGGTAACACAGGTGGCTCTATTATAGTTCTCTACCTTCCCACCTACACTAGGGGTTGTTATATAGACACCTAATGAAAATGGGGAGCATTAGGCAAAGGTAATGGTTGAAGTCTCAGGACATAAATTCTGCCTATCTGTAGACTCCTCCACTGAAGACTTGAACCTCTTTTTCAATACTGAATTTATTCCTCTCCCATTTTACTGCTTGTACTTACCTTGAAAACTTGTGTCTGTAATGGGTTGAGCAGACATAGAGTAGTAGATTCTAGGAGTGGAGGCAGTTGGTAGGACATTTGTAGGTTGAATCTCCTTTAGCACCATCACCACTTCTGGTTGAGAGGCAGAGGCCATGCTCCCTGTGTATGACATAGAGCCGTAGGATTGCAGACATGGGCTAAGTTCTCCAGACAGTAGAGGTCCTAGTGTGCTTTGATTATAGTAATAGACCTGGCTTCCTTCCTGGTAGGGAAGTGACAGGCTATGTCCTTGATTTGGAATCTGAGATGGTGTCCCCTGAACAAGGCTGGCAGACAGTGATGGGTACAGAGGGACTAAGGCATTGGCATCTGAAGTTTTATCATACTGGTTTGTTGTGGACATGGAAGAAAGAGTTGTGTCCGGGTCAATAACAGTCACAGTGAGGTCCCCAAGTGAAGATGACTTTTCAGTGCTTCCTGTGATATCCCACTCAAAAATACCTGGATAGGAGGCATTTGAAGTGGAGATCTGGTTCTGGCCAGTAACCCCAGACAACATGGTTGTTCCAGAATGTTGGTAAAGGTAGGCACTACCCATGAGTGACTGGAAAGAGGTGCCAGAGGATGATGGGAGTAGCCATGCTGAGCTAACGGCTGGAGCAGAAACTCTGGAGAAGTTGCAGACACTTCCTGTTAGAGGAGCTTCATTGCTTACCACAGGAAGAGAGAGCTGCAGAGAATTTGCAGTTCCTAGTAAAGATGAATTTTGGAAATTTTCTGTAGGAAACAAGAGGGTGATGAAAAAACTGATGAGATGAATAAATGTTCACTGTATTTGAGGAATAGCATTGTCTTAAGATTGCTTCAATTGGAAAGCCTCTAATACCAATCCTTATTGAGATACCCCAAAACAGTTTATGGTGGCTATTAAGTGCTAGAGTAATTTGGTGTTCTTCTAATGAATTACCTTTGCATCCAACTTGGGCACAGATGTACAGAAGGCCCAAGTGGTCTGGTTCATACTGTTCCCTAGGCTAGAAGCAATCTTCTTCCTCCCCTTATTTGCTCTGAGCCAGCATTGGTATTGAACTCCTAACAACTTCCTAGAATCAGAGCATTTTAGAACAAGGAGGGTCTTAGAGAACTTCTCATCTGACACTTTCATTTTCCCAAAATTACAAAGGAAACTGAGGCTCAAAGAGGTCAAATTGACCTGTTCAAGTTCTCTCATTATGTTAGTATCATTATCAGGTTTCACAAGCTGACTTATTTGCCAGGCCTCTTTGCTCTGAGCAAAGACCAGAAATTAGGAGAAATAGAACTTTTAATATAAGCATTTTTTTGTTCATTAGATAACAGTACAACCATTACCACTATAATCTTTAGTGTCTCACTTTGCTTGTGTAGATCACATGCCATTTCCTAGAGTTTGAATATAGCTCAAGCTCAGGCCAGTTGATTAATCTAATGCAGTGGTTCTCAACCTGTAACAATGCAAATACATCCTGCATATCAGATATTTACATTACAATTCATAACAGTAGCAAAATTACAGTTATGAAGTAGCAATGAAAATAATTTTATGGTTGGGGATCACCCCAACATGAGGAACTATATTAAAGGGTCGTAGCATTAGGAAGCATTAGGAAGGTTGAGAACCACTGATCTAAACAGTCATTCTTTACCTTTTCAAGCTGGCTTCTGGTCCTAAGTCAAAACTTTTTTTTTTTTTTTTTTTTTTTTT